TTACAAAACTGAAATTGTTAATGATATTTCAGCTATGCGTCTTCAGGGCAAGTTCAAACAAGTCACACAACACGTTAACTATTTTTAAAAGAGAATTTTGTGCTCTATCTTTTGCTATTTAAAACGAATATTTGACCATTTATCACTTAGTCGCGTTTTGTGTACAGCTTTTTTTCAGATGTCGCCTCCAGTGCAACGAAACAAGATCCGTTAATATGTAGCTTGATGTACTGCTTCAAGCTGCTGCCTTCAACTTTTGAGGTCGGGTTTTTTTTTACACAAACTGGTGGTGCGAAATGAAGATGTATAATACCGATAAGTAGTGGACTGTATTTTTTTTAATTACATTAAAAGGTACTTGTGCTACGGGTAACTGCACTTGCAAGTAGTTTCCTATAAGGACTGGAACGAGTATATGGAAGTAGGTTGAAGAACAAGAAAAATGATGGAAACACGCACACTCACTTTTTCTTTCGTTGCGCTGGCAGCAATTTCGCGTGGTTACGGCCGCCACAGGAGGAAAAATCCTCAGGTTCATTGCTGAGCGCAGTACAGTGTATTGAGAACAAAATAAACTATTAAAAAACACAATCGCGCTAATTAGCCATTTTTGTGATGCACACAGTCATAGATAAGTGTTTATATACTGGCGTACACACAGTTCAGTGTCATACGTTAGACTATCGTCTTATTTTTGTTGCCAACTCATTGGCCAGTGAAAGAGACGACAGCTGCAAAAGTGCGCATGTTGGAGGAGGATGGGGGACACAAAGGAAGGAAGTCCTCGCAAGTGCTAAGATCTACCCTATACTATTTTTTGATAAATGTCTAATACAAAAAAAGAAAATATGAAATCCAACACAAGCTATGTAAGAAATAAGTTATATGTATTTATTAATTTCTTTTATCAGCGAATTGTGCCTTTCTTTCTTTTGAAGGAAGAATAAATGGCGATCTATGTCTATCATACAAACTTAATATTTTGTGGCGTCGTCTATATGGTTGGGAGTTTGCAGTGAACTGCCAAAAAAAACCGTTTTTTTTAAATAATAATATTATAAAACAATTTTGTATCGTAGTGACGATAGCCCTCGCTAAAATCAGATATACTCGTATTCATGTAACCTATCAGGGCACAGTTATTTGCACAAGCTGATTTCCGTACATTTAATGTTGGGTGGTTTCAATCTGTTTTGTTGGAGCCAACATATAGTGCCGCGGAGATTTTGTATACATGTTTGGTTAGATAGTATTTTGATTTATTTTCTTGAGGTATTTATTGTTTTTCTAATAGGGCTGACATGTTCAATAACGATGAAAGCCCCTAAATAAATAAAGTAAAAAAAAAAAAGATATTTTGCTGCCATATCGATATTTTAGGGAAGAAAAGACGGAGAATCCAAACTGCAAAGAATGCAAAGCGAAGCAAAAGTGATTGAACAAATATTGTTATAAACGTTTTTACAACTATTTTTATGTATAAAAAAATATTTTGGCGAAAAGTGTCTTCGACTTAAAAATTTACATTTACGCTTTTTTTTCTCCGAAGCATCGATTATGTTCTAGTGATGCTCTTTGTTGACAAACCTCATGAGGGATGGTCCTAGTCGAATAGTCCAAAGATAACATTCTGAAAAAATAAAGCTTTTGAAAAATCTCACAGCGGTGTTTTAATCTGCAGCCCGCCCTAGCGAATGGACACTATACAGCGTTGTTTGTAAAATATACTTTAACAACCTCGCAGAACTACTAACATCATAAAAAAAACAACTTTTATTCCATGAGTTTTAATAATTTGTCATTGTGATTCTATTTTGTACAAAATATTTAGGTAAATATATCGCTCTAAATGGCGATGATAACTCTGTACGGTTACAAAAGAAAACGCTAGAGTAATTACCAGTCCCGTGCAAAACGCAAGGGCAAGGTGGAGAACGTCAGATCGGACGCGTGCTTGTACGTTTAAACTTACTACCTTACTATCAAGACACATCTAAAAAGTGTCAAGTACGTCAAAAACTTAAAAAGTTTATTTTGGATAAATTTATAACGTTTTGTAAAAAGGCGTGGAACACGTTGAGATTACTACTTGAATGCCATTTGATCGAACATTAATTGCTCGGAAACGTTTACTCGATTGTCCATTCGACCTATAAATCGTGAACTGTAAAGTTTGCCGTAGAAGTACTTGACCTCACGTAGAAGTACTTAATGTATTTTTTTCATACTAGGTACCTACTCTCATTTAATTCATACATACATTGGTTGTCACAACATTTTATTGGTGTAGTGTTAGTGGTTTTGTCATTAGAGCAAATTTACTGAGACCAAGTGCAGCGGTTTAAGGTGCTGTTGTCAAATACTTGTTTGAATAGAGATGAACACCGAAAAAGATACACAGTGACATAGATACAACATTAGGGGAATCTACTCTATCGTATACGACTATAAAAAAATGAGTTGTATACAATTCAAACGTGGACGTGAGACCATCGAAGAAGTCTCTAGGTTTAGCCGGTCCACGGCATCTACGACTGAGGAAAACCTCGGAAAAGTGTGATCTAATTATGGAAGTCCGGAGATTGAATATCAAGGAGATTGCAGACACTATGGCATCTTGTATGAGCGAACCTAATTGTCGAACTTGAATTTTACAAGGTTTCTGCTAAGTGGCTCCCCGGGTTGTTTTCAGTGGACCAAGGGCGTATTCGGCTCGCAATTTCTCGCGACTGTTTAGAGATGTTTGAGGCTGAACAGCAAAATTTATTGAACAAATTTGTGACAATAGATGAAACTTGAGTACACCACTATACACCAGAGGCCAAGCAATAATCGAAACAGTGGTAAAAACCTGGTGAACCGACTCCAGAAAAAGCGAAAGCAGTTTTGTCGGTTGGCAAGGTAATGGCGTCATTTTTTAGAATTCTAAGCGTGGTGGACTACCTTCTGAAGGGCGAAATAACTAACTCGGCATACTACGGTACCCTTTTGCGTCGTTTGCGCGAAGAAATGAAAGAGAAACGCTCAAAATTACCAGGACAAAACTGTTGTTTCATCAGGATAATGCTCGCGGTTACACTTCTGTCGAATCCAAGGTTAAAATTTTTGTAACATGGTTTCGAATTACTGCCCCACCTGGTTTATTTTTTTGGTTTAGCACCTCCAAATTTTCATCTGTCCCCAAACCTAAAAAAACACCACACTAGCCAGAAATTTTCATCGAATGAAGATGTCGAAGCAGCATTAAATGGGTATTTTTAAGACTTTGAAAAACCTTTTTTTTTAAACTGATGTAGAAGCTTTAGAAAGCAGGTGAAAGAAATGCATATATGTAGTTAGATGGAGATCACGTCGAAAAATAAAAATATTTTTGTAAGCATTTAACTACATTTTCTTGGTTAGGCCGCGAACTTTTCAAATTTGGTCTGTGTTTTCAATCCTCCCTCGTAATTTAGTTAAACGCTATATTCAAGAATTTCTTTACATTTCAAGCTTTGAAAACTTCTCTGGATTAATATAATAGTCCTGTGAGGTTGTTATTATTTTACAAATAACCCCCTATAACCTATCCGTTTATTCCTCTTCTGTCACCACGCGTTCGTTTAAAGCCATTTCGAACAAAAATGGGTATCTACCGTCAAGCATGTATGAAAAGAGATAGTTGATTGGCTTGATAATAGTAAGTGGAAGGATGTGGGCACTGGCTACCCCGTCGGGATATAGACGAGAAGTGTATAAGTATTGGAGTAAGTGGAAAAAGAAATTTGCACAAGCAAACTGTCAAACTACCTCGTACACCATGTTCTATGACTGGGCTGATATCCGCTCTGTCATCCACACATGCAAGCTACCGGTGCCGCAGCCGACAGGCCCACGGTCCGTTTAGCGGCCTTGCGTTTCTTGAAAACTCGCTGTGGAAAGTAGCGCTCCTGAGCGTGCCCGTGCTCGCCCGTGGCGGCTTATTCGGATCCGTCTCTGGTCGGTAGCTTCGAAGGCGCGAGAGCGCATGCGGCTTATGTTTTCAAATCGGTGCGTTTGAATTCACGGGCCGTGGGAACGCACCATAACTGTGCCAATTATGTTATTGCGACGGTACCCGGCAGCATCGAGATCCCCTCCGCAGCTATCCTTTTTTGGTTAAGTGTATTTAGCAATGGTGTTAACTGCTGCGTGCAGTGAAACGACGTATTTCCTCAACATTCCCGTGGATTAACCATGACAATCGGCAACAACAGTATTAATGGCGTTTTCGTGAAAGTCGACGTTGTGAAATGCAAAATAAAATGGAAAAAATAATTTCATGTTTTTTTATAAGTATTATTTTGGCCAGACAAAGTGTGTCTCATTTTGAGTTAAGTAGATATTTTTTTATTGTTTCTTACAATATTCTAACGACGAGGTTTTTGACGTGTAGAGAATCAAATTTCACGTTCAGTAATGATATAATATTAAATTTCACATATTTTGAGTTACAACAATATTGGAATAGCAGTGCGATATGTAAGCTAAGCGAAGGTGAACAAAATAAAGGACCGAGAGTCGCTTCATCGGACTGACCGTGACAGATGACACGTCTGTCTTATTTATGTCGATGTTTCAGTCGACAGTTAGACAAGTTATAATATCTAGAAAGTTGGATCGATGATGGAGCCATAATCCTATTTTACATAGACAAGATAAACCTATTTTAGATACACACATTTTATTACTAAGATCAAGAATTGTTGTGGTGTCAAAATGTGTTGTGTATTACTTGGTTATAATACATTTGTAATTATTTTTAGCCCCGTTGGGCGAATGCGTGGCGAACAAAACATGTGATAGAACAATGAATGTTACGTAAGAATTATCAATTCAAGTTGCGGTGCGAACCAGTTGTTTAAGATGCCGTTCGAAGTTTTGAAATCGTTGAAGGTTCTTATGTGGAAGCACCTTATGGTGCGCGGTAGGAAATATATACTCACTTCCATGGAATTGCTGTTGCCCCTGGTATACTTCTTGTTAATTCATCTTATTTGCCTCCATTTTGCAAATAAGAGACTTTTTCCAATAATGATAGAGAACATGCAAATTACCAATCTTCAAGATACCGTAAGTATTTGTTTAATAAATCTGATATTTGATTAGGTGCAGGAGGTATTTAAGGCCAGTCTTTATCTAAAATTTACCTTTATCTTTATTAAGAAATACTAGTAATGTAAGAATTACTGCGTTCCGGTTTTAAAGGGTAGGTAAGTGTGCTGGTGATATTACAAGCACATAAGACTTGTCAAGTTATGACTCAGGGTGACAGGCGCAGTGGCAATGTCCCTCAGGTCTGTGCGTCTTAAAGCTCTGAGTGGTACTGCAACTACTATGGACAGGCGTATCGCTTAACAGCAGACACACGACCTGTTCGTCCCGTCATTTAGTATCATAAAAAAGGTATCAGGTTTTTAAGGCCCATCTTTCTTTTTCAATAAGTAAAACATTTTTACACACTACGAGACTATTAAGAAGTACTCGTTTCATATGTTATTTTTATGTATGTCTATATGTATGAATTACTTTTTTTTTAATTAGGTTATTCTAACATTTTTGAAGGCCCAGTATATGAATACCTCACCTACCTTATGATGAGTGGAAGAAGGGTAGGGTGACGTTTGCCCTGCAGTGAGATGTAGCGGTTATAAAATGAAAAATGGAATGATAATTACGATAAACAATTTTGAGTATGTCGATGATAGTTGCCTTAAAGTGGTCTTAGGGTCGTATTCCAGAACTCTACTCATTGCTCAAGTCATGACATGAGTATGATTTAAAGCACTAGAAATCAAACTCAAGTCCTTGCCATTAGGGTCGTATTTCCAGTGCTTGAAATCATACTCAAGTCTGCTCAAATCCTGACTTGAGCATTGAGTAGAGTTCTAGAATACGACCCTTAGAAGGCTACTCTTCCGAACATATGGCGATAGATTCGGAGTTCCTCAGGGTTCCGTATTGTCTGCAACTCTCTTTCTTACTCTACATCAATGATATGTAAATTCCAGGTACCTTTGCGTACGCAACAAGTACCTATCTACAACTGTGCTGTCATCGGCGTATGCTGAGCACAGTTGTAGATAGATACTTAACCAATGCTAGGGTCAGTGGAGAGGAAATCCTGTCTTGTCGAGAGTCCATGGTTAGCCGTTTTGTTTTGACACTCCAGGCCGTCTCCGATTGGGGCGATGCCAATCTTGTCAAATTTAACGCTACCAAAACGCAGGCATGTCAATTCTGGGGGCGGGTCGGAGGACAACCGACTCGCCCCTCCGTTGGCGCGGGAGCCCTGGCGTTAGCTAGGGCGGCCGGGCGGCGTCGTGGTGAATGTTCACTGATCCCACGGCGCTTTAGTGGGGTAGGCCCTCCAGTCTGGAGGGAGAGTCCCCACATAACTCCTGAGTGTCCCTGGGCTCAGGGATATCCATAAAGATTTGCCCCCGTCAAACAACAAAAAAAAAAGGCATGTGAGCTAACTCCGACTTTTCGTGATGTATTCATACCGATAGCCGACTGTGTGTACACACTGCCACCTTTAGGATAGCTCTGCTACATACCAACTGGCCACCTTAGATTCAATTGACAACCGTGTCAAGAGGCTTATGGGTGATTCGTAATTAGTGGAGGCGAAGCCTTGAACACCGCCGTAAAGTTGCCTGCTTATCGGTATTTTACAGGATATATCACGGAGAGTATGCGATGGAATTACACGACTTAATTCCGCTTTCCCCTATCCGTCACCGGGCGACTTGGCGTGCACTTGGGTTCCACCCCTATCATGTGGATATTCTAAAAATTCGCACGAAGCGTTATGCTTCCACAGTCATATGGCGAACGGCTATGGAGTGGAATTCTCTGCCTGCAAACTTGTTCCCAGAACGTTATAACTTGGGCTTTAAAAAAAAAGCTTGCCCGTACAAGCATGAGTCGCTTTGTTGTCCTAATCCCCGATTGCTCCATTAGAACAATTAGCGCTTCCTTCAATAAGTTATATATTATAATAAATTCATATTTAGATACTTTTTTCAGTCTCTCTCTCTCTCTCTCTCTCTCTCTCTCTCTCTCTCTCTCTCTCT